AACTACATGAAATAACAAATTTTTATTAAGAATAGTACAAAAAATAAAAATTAAATATTTTATTATTCTCAAACTAAATACCTTTTGAAAAGTTCTTGTCAAATTTCAAACAATTTCACCCACTAGTTGGATTTTTGGAAAAACATTTCGCGAGAGCTACGTCACCTACTGATTATGTAAGTAGGTCATTATGATAGGGATAAGACATATAACAAATCACTGTGGCCCTAAACTAAATACAATCTCAAACTAAAATGTCAATTTTCATAATAAGCACAACCAATTTTAATTTTTTAAAATACAGCACACAAAATTTCATCATGTGCTTTGATTATTATACTATGATTTTCCAAATGTGAAATACAGTGCAATAAATGAGGTGGAACCAACATTGGTACCTTACAAGTAGGATTGGTTAAAAATTTTAAAACTGAAATTGAGCTAACACAGAGATTGTTTTATGAAAAAAAAAAGTAGAATTAGGTTAAATTCCGATCATGGATGCAAAACTAGTGCTAAAGTGCAAGGGAAATTTTAAAATAAACTTTGAAAGAAAATGATTTAGCCTTAGAGTGCACTTATTTACAGTCTAAAACATTTTGAAATATTTTAAGTTTGTCTTTAAACCTCATTAAATAAAACAACTTAGAACAAACAATTTAATATTATGTTACTATTTAAAAATAAAATCTGAATTTCCAATAAATTCTTTTTTTTTTAATCTTAGGTGTGATTTTGCCCTCAGAGCAAGACAAAATGGACATAGTAGTCAAAGGGCTAAACAATAAAATACTCCCTCTTTAAAATAAATACTAACTATGGTTAACAGCCTTGAATTTCTGTTTAAGGCATAAATACATAAAAATTAATAATTTGGTGAAGTTAATTTTCTTTAAATTTACATATAAGAATAATGAATATATTATTAAAAAAACCTCTGCTAAACATCATATATGCAAGAAAATTAATAATAATTTTAACTTCAAAAACTACCTGTGACAAAGAAGCTGAAGCTGTTGTACTTGTGTCCAGTTTCTGATCATCTGTTAGATCCCTGGCCCAATAATGGGTATGAACTATTTCAAGAACTTGGAAAACACTGGCCATCCCACCAAGACCATTATTGGCATATGTTTGATCAAGCCCTGCTACTATGGCCAACAGGAGCTTCAACATACCTCTCCACACTGCTCGAGAAACACACTGAAAAAGGTAAAGAAATAAAATAATCATAATTTCATTTGTTAATATTAGCCATGAATGACATCAAACATTTAGATGTTATACAAAAATAAAACTGCTCATAAACAACTAAAATATTTAATGAAATAACCATCTCACCCTGTTGCCTAAGTTGAGACATCAAGTAACAAATTCATTCAGAGGATTGGTGTAACAAACCAAGACAAATGGAATAATACGAAATTTGTTTTAATATTGTTGTCTCATCTTTGAAAAATGAAAGTTTTATTTCACATTCTGGTTGCAGTGTTAAATCAAGATTTAGGTTAGTTGCTACTTATTTAGTAAAATTAGCCAAGTGGTTTTCTATCTGGTTAGCCAGTTCTGTGTTTCAATACAAGGCAGTGGTAAAATAAAATCATTAAAACTAAAAGCATAGATTTAAAACATAATTCTGCCAGAGCTTAAATTAGGCTACAGTAATATGAAAGTATTTATCCATCTAACATACATTTTTATACTTCCTTTAGACACATCTATTTGAGTTCACTTAAATAAGTTAAAATGTATTATATGCCTCTTACAGTGATTTTTTTTATAAAATAATAGATATTTCAAAGTAACCCAGTAACTAGACTTTTTTGTATACTAAAGTAATTTTATCTGAATAACAAGATGAAACAGTGGTACAAGCAAAATAAAGTAAAAATATTTTTCATCTGTAATATGAACTTCAAATTTTGATAACCAATTATCATCACACTGTTTCCTCAAAGTAGATATAAAGTTAATTCTGCTGCTATTCTTAGCAAAAATGTACAGGCTTTCCAATACCCAATCTCAGTGGTTTTGCACAGATGTCCCAGAAGAGGCATCTGTGGAAATCCACAAATTTTTCACGTGCCTGTTAATCTGAGTTAAGTACAGATCTTTTTAAATATATTTCACAGTGTAAATATTTAAGCAAATTGCATAAAACTTACTACAAATTACAAAAGGTATTTAATTTTTGGCTTTAAGAATTTCAGATAATTTTATTAGTATTTCTGTCATTTTTTTAGGTTGTGAAGTTTCCAAAAATTTAGTTGTAAAACACTGTTTTGAAAAAAACATTAGAAATAATTCTTTATAATTTTCAGTTTGATTGATATACATTAACATATGTCTTTGTATTTTAACTTGCCATATTCTGGCAATAAATTTCAAAAAACACAGTAAAAACTAAAACGTTTGTTGGTAACCTAGGATAACCTTTCAAAATGAAATGCCCATTACCCTTTCCCAATGGGCTCAGTATAACATACACGAGTTCGTATACACGTTTGCACACATTAAGTATTTATACTATAACTTTTAATTAAGTATGTGCATCTTCACAAAATTTGGTATACCTTCAGTAAACCTTACAAGTCTTTTGTACACAAAAAATCAAATTTTTTAATGATGTATTTTTACTAAAGATTTGTTTGTGAATATATTGAGTCTGTTTCATTACTAGTCCAAGTGGAAGTGATTTTCATGTTATGACTAAAAATACTATTCTTCATCCCAAAAATATTAAATTTCTTTTGTGTAATCCATAAAACCTCCTAACTACATTTCAACCATTTGTTTTCAGTAAAACTATATCTTATCAGCTATTTAATGATATACTTGAGTCTTCGGCCTGTAGACAAATCCCGAAAGTATGATGAAAAGATAAGTTGTAAAATTAGAAATAAAAGGAGCAGCTGTGCCTTTTTTTGTTATTATTGGTCACGAAGTTTCAAAGTACTTCTCTTATGTGTTTGAACTGCTAAACATTTCAAATATATTTTCTGTGTTTATTTTACTGTCAACAACTAAAGTAGAACCACTATTGAAAATAAACCAATAAATTGCCACTTGTGTAAGTAGAATGTTTACGTGACACCACTGTAATACAATACTCCTGAAAGCAACAAAGCAAGTGCAAAAAAATAGTCAATTCGACCCCTGCTCTGAGAACAGGATGTCTAATGTTTCGGATTATATATGCTAAAATGTTTTCTTGGAAAATTTAGAGTAATCACACTGCACTTAGAATCAGTGAAAACATTTATGCTGACAAAAGGATGTGTAATTTATCGGCTCATACATGTATCCTACAGTGTTCACAACAAGACTTTTCAAGAGTAACAACACTGGACTTTGAACCTGTCAAAACATTTATAATGTGGTTTGGTGCCGATATAATAAACATTATAATTCTTTGAATATTGGTAATCCTATAGGGGTGTTTGGAATTTAGCAGCATACGTATACAAATATGTTATTTGAGCCCATGATTATAAAATCCTCTTTCCCATTTCAGCACTTATTTGTCAACCAATAAAAACTCTAGTTTCAGTACTACTTATGACACTCGTTTAGTTTTGCAAGCTATATAAATCTAGTCTTCTTTGGAAAACATTCTTACTTTTGCAGTTAAAGTGTAGTTCAGAAGTTCCCTTACAGTTGTGAAACACCTCGAGTTATTACTGACTCTTACCTTGAAGTAAGTAATAATCATTTGTAATATATAAATATATACATACAGAAGATACAGAATCAAATACAAAGTACAAATCTAACTGTATTACCAATACTTTGCAAAATGCACTGATATTTCAGCTACCATACATTACATGTATACGTATATATTTATTCATAAATGAAAATTACACAGAGAAACAATGATTTCTAGTACTTATGAGAAATGACAGTGATAGGAAACTATTTTGTCGTTGCGTGCCTTTAGTGCTAAGCCTCGTATATTTTTTCAAGTGGTGGAGGGTGAAAAAATATAATTTTTGTAGGCTTCAAATATATATTTCAGAATATCACATTACTCAACTTGTACACCCAAGACATCTCTAACTTGCTTGGGTTTATAAATAAAGTATACATGTGTCAACATATTTATCTTTGTTCAGAGCAACAACTTGGTCATCACCATTAAACAGTCTTGGTAAAATTATTATTTTCTCTTTTATGCTCTTTACAAACAACTATCAGAATCATGTAAAGCGCAACTTGTCCTTTCTTAAGAAAAATAGGTGGAACTAAACAAGAGGTTTGGAGAGAATGGAACAGGAGGAGGTGCCACTCTAGTTGATTTGCTATATACATTGATTTCTCAGCAAATCGATGTGGTGGGAGGTTCTAATTTTATATTCTATCTTGCCAGTATCTAAAATACATGTTTCTAATTCATAAACCATCATAGACGTAAAAAAATACAAACTGAGCAACAAGATATGTGACACACACAATTCAATGTTTAGCTTTATTTTATTTATATTTTCTTTTGAATTATGAAATCAAAATATACATATTAAAATTTGAAATATAAGCTACTTTTGATGTCAATTTCATTAATATATAGTAAGAATAAAGTTACTTAATAAAGCTATGAAAATAAATTGGTAAAAGACTGTGATATGCGCAGTTAGACCAACCAATTGTGAAAGGGTTAAACAAGTTAGTGTTGTAATTCCACTACACATAGAGCAGTTTAATGTGGTACTGGTACTGAGGTCTGTGTGTGGTTTTTCAAAGTGCCTTGATATTTGATTCAATATTCTACAACTATTCAATCACAGCTCTTCTAACGTTTGACAATCTTCACCTTGCACGCTGACAATTTTATGAGCAAGAACTAATACAAGAAGTGTTAAAACTTCCTCTTTCACTTTTCACCTATACAAAATATTTTTTGAGATGTACTCGTACTCATTTCAATATTTGTAATTAGAAAGTTACTGACAACAAGAAGTAAAAAATTCAAAAATTACAAAGTAAAATTCTAAGTGTCTTACCTTAATTCTGCTGCTTGAGCTCTTATTTCTGCTAATTCATGTAAACGTTTCAGCTCTTTCTCTCGTTTTCTGTCTTCTTTGTGAGACTTGCCAACTACATTTCTTCCAAATTCTCGCTGTTTTAACTCTTTCAAACGCTAGAATAAAAAATAAAACGAACACTAATTTCAATTCCAACAATTTATAATTTAACAATCCTTCCCCACGATTTAGGATAGCATATATTTCATATTCTAACTTCTAAATGATCAGACTTTGTTGAAGCGAAACATTTGTCTGTAACAAAATCATATCAAGAACATCAATGTTTATAAAATTACACGATTCAATCTGAGAGAGTTTGGTACATCTTTCAGTAAATTCAAATCTTGCTTTTTTTTTTACATGTATCAATACAAAGAGTATTTAATACAACAAATGGATTATACAAGTATAATAAAAAAAAAAATTTTTATAAAGACAAGTTGGGAACAATATATACATAACCTAGCTAGCTATAGTAATATAGAAAGTTTTAATGCTACAAAAGTACGGAAACAAGTCAAAACTACAAAAATTGTGTTTCTTACAACTTAAAACATTTTATCCCTACTTTGGCAAATCACTGTATCTATGGTACTCTGAGCCCAAACAAAACTAGTAGTCTCATGAATGTTTGTAAAATACTATGGCCAATATGCAATCATTTTTTTCACAGGTTCAAAATACAGATATATGCTACTATTAAACTAAATATGCCAAACCAAAAAACATATTCTGTTACTCGCACAGATGGAATATCCCAAGACTTCTAATAAGTTTTTTATTGTAGTCTTAACATAAATGGTAACATTCAGCTCAGTTTGTTTATTAATCAGAACATGTTTTTTCAAGAACAAAATGTTATTAGCTTCCTCTTTTTGAACCAAATTGCTTGATTAGCTGTAGATTAAATTATAAAATTTCCACTTGAATAACACTAAATTCTTTACCTGTTTGTGGGCATGGTCGTAGGAATTGATGTGATTATCAAATTCCTGGTGTTTGTAGTATTGTTTATCACATAAATCACAGTAAAAGTTTGCTTTCAAACTAGCCAGTGCTTCCTGTACTGCTTTTTCCTTTTCTTGATTTGCCTAGTTACAAAAAATAAAAGAAAGAGAAAAAGGTGAAATAGTTATAGATTAAACAATAACTTTATAATTATGAAAGATTACTTTATTGCTTAAGTTTCATCTTTGAGGTTTTAATGCTTTTATAAAATACAAGTTAGTTTTATGTTGGAAACAATAGGCTAAAAAATCACACTACTGATACCTTATAAATCAGATATTGGTAAAAATTGCAGTGTGAGAGTGCAAGCATTAAGGTAACATGTATGAAGTCTATGAGTAATAATGCAACATTTAAATGATAGTAATTTTATACATATATGTGTAGTATATAAATATAACAGAAAATGATGATAATAGCTTAAACTGACAGAGAACATTCCATCCCCAATAATTACAATACTGTATGAAATATTTTCATCAAAATATTTACTTCAATATCAAAACTGCATGAATTTATTGTTGTTCATTTAATTAAACAATACTTAAGACTTTTTGTTAATCTCAAAGTGACAACAATACTGTAATTTATATTTTGCAAAGTTTATTCATTTGACTTATCAAAATATCAACTTCATTTGAACAAAGACTAACATAGAATAATATTCTACTTGAGAAGACAACCAAGGGAGAGAATCTCATCCAGGCTACACTTGTTTTTGACAAAAACAAATGGCCAGATTCCATGGCTGATCAGAGGAATTATAATGGTACAAATGTATGCAGGATTTTTAACTATTTTGGTGTTCTTCTTGGGTCAGTGTGTTAAACTCATGAGTACTAGAAGAATGGAGGGTTGCTAAAGTTCTCATCTTTAAGCATCTAATGCATCACTCATACCAAAATCTTCAATCAACCAGTATATGAAGAAAGGTACTCCAACTTACTCTACCTTGTTCAAATAATGAACTAATGTATCTGTTGTTTCTGAGAAAAGCTTCAGATGTCTTAACAGAATCATAACTGACCTGAGAAACTCACCCAACATTTCTAAATTTGACAAGTTGATAAGACTATCACTGATGGTACCTGAATTTTAGAACTCTGACCCTGAAACAGTCCCAGGTCATTGGCTAACTAGTTAGTTCCCAATAATGTAGAAGAACCAAGTTTTAAGAGCTTTATGTTTGATGAACAAAGCAACTGTACCAAACTTTCCTTTTGATTTACTGACAATACATATCTGGTTTATTAGGCACATGTATGACAAGGAAGAAAGCTTATACAAACATGCAATCATGTGATAAAGTCCTGTAAATGTTAGGTGGAGATGCTTTTCAGACTTGGTCCTTTCAAAGTTTTTGCTAGTAGATCAGATCATTTTACTTACAGACACTAACAACACTTATCAGTGATATTTTTCTACAATTTCAAGCACTGCTATGTGAACCAAGTCAATAATGCTAATGAAAGATCTTTAAGTTAGTTTCATTAGCTGATAATTTCCTGGTGGATAGATTATGTTGATTGAATGAACCTTCTTATGGAATACTTGGAAAAAAACATAACCACAAGTAGGAAAACTGTCTGAAAAGAAAATATTCTATAATGGTTCAAAAATATCTGAAGGTTGTCACATATTTATATATAGTTGATGATTTTAAGATTCTAGAAATCATTATATATAACACCAACCTTCTAAAATGCTCATATTTAGAACTTAATGGTTTAAATTAAAGAAAATTACGAAAGCCTCAGAAAAAGTTACAACTATGAACTGAAGCAAGAAAAAAGTCAAATAAAATATTTCATAGTAATGTAAAATTATATGAATGGTGTTTTGTCTTTAAGTTACAACAGTGATCATAATATATTTATATAAGAATTGAAATGAATGATAAATGTAAAATTATGACAGATGAAGATAAAACTTTCAGAAATGGTATGGTTATACATTAGAAAAAAAGTACCGCTTTAGAAACAGGAAGCCGCTAACATGAATATGATAGAGGTAAAAAAGGAGGATCATTATAGTCATTGAAACACAGTGTCAATTTAACTGATAAGAAACAAAAATGAAATGTCACAAATAGATACAAAAACAAAAGTACTATTGAGAAGAAAATTTTTTATCAATTTTTTTTTGAGTGGGTTGCAAAAAAACTATTCTCAGAATATATTTGAAACGTCGGAGGGTGTTGGGGGTTTACAGTAATTCACCTTAGAGCTACACAAGTTATTTTGGAGTAACTGTTGTTGTCTGTCAACTCATATAAAACATGACCAACATAGTACATTCCTAAGTAAATAATAAGGCATGAAATATACTATTCAGTGTAAATAACTGGAAAATCCCAAATTGCCTTTATACTAAGTTCATTACCACAAGTTACTTATTACATAAGCTGTTCATATGGTAGTAAGAGATGTACTTATTATTAATTAATATTTGTTTATTGACCATAAAACTGATTACTCAGAATCAACCAATATTATATAAATAGTCAACCAATTATCCCAAGAGTGGGAGTACAGCTAAGTAGTCAAGATGAGTGAGTCCAAAATTTGTAACAGTTTATATTTTAATAACTGCACTTACAAATGCAAACCAAATATGTATATAAATCCTACAGATACAAACACATTATTCATAAAAAGGTTTTAATTGTACAAAAAAAGTGCAAACATAAATTTAAAGCACCCCCCCCCCAAAAAAAAAGCAACAAAAACAGGCTACCTGCAAAATCCATCTGTTTTTATTGCCTTCAAACTAAAATAAAAAGACCACTTGGAATTTAAGTGCAAATACATTTAGGAGCAAAGACACAATGCATTTCTTTATGCACAGAGTCATGGATGTTTGGAACGAACTGCCTAACAATATTACTCAAGGATCCATCCCTCAAGAAACAGGTTAACAAGTTTCTTCGATCAACAACCAAATGAGCAAGATGGATCAAATGGCCTCCTCTAATTTGTAGCCTTTATGTTCTTATTTGTTATTCTTAATCCAGTTCATAACTGATGTTACCCATAGCTTTTTGGACTTTGTTGAACTGACTGGTAACTTCCCAGAACTCTGAGAAGGAAACATTGTTATTCAGACTTGTTCCAAACATTAACATTTTCTGACATTGAAGATGTATTTCCAATAGATACACACCTTTAATCATATCTAGCTTCCTCATTCAGTGCTACTTGCCCTCTATATGCAAAGTTTTGCTTATCACTAGCCTTGAGACTCTCACTTAATTTCACGTTTCCAAATTATATTGCTGCACTGTTGTATGCAAATGAGCATGCGACAACCCTCCATCAATAACAGTACGACACTATCTCCTCAGAAAAATGGCTTCCTCTACACTGATTGTTCAAATCCTTACTTTGAGATTAGAAAAGAAAAATAGGATGCACCAGAAGTGGGGAGAAAGGGTGGAAAGTTTGAGAAGAGGTTAGTATTTATCAGAAATACATTTTCAGTATTGGAAAATGTTAACTTCCGATGCGATACATAACCTTCTCTTATATCTAGCTTGAATCCCATGTTGAAGTGGTGGAGAAACCAGTGTAAAATTGTATGCATATGAGCTTCCTTTGGGAAGTACCCAAAGAGAATCCATGGAATGCTCTATACCTTGGAGCAGTAACGGGCACATTCCTGGAAGACCACATCTAATCTGTACCAGGGTATACTCTACACACAGAGAGGAAGGGAAGAGTCAAAAGGACAAGCAGAAGATATAAACACATTCCAAAACCTGCATCAGGCTTTCGGAAGTGCTACAAATGTAGTGGGGCTAAAGCATGACAGACTGTACATGGTGGGTCAACTCCAGTCCAAAACCACGCAGCACTAGGAATATGGCTTCTAGACCACAACAGGAGGAAGGTCCTTACCATCTTCACTTCAAGCTCAGTGAAGCAGAATGGAAAAGTAGCATCCACCCTAAAACTGAGTGAGGATTTATGATGGCTGGTCCTTATGCCAATCCAACACTAGGCTACCTGGAAATCCAACTTCCAAGTAACAATAGGATAAGGGAAAGCTGGTCAGAAGGGTGAACTGTACTACAAGGAGTGGTGAGTGGCAAGGAAAAGTGGGATGAAAGCATGGTGGGGAGTCTGGAGGTGTACATCACCATAAGACAGTGCAACCAGTGACCACAAAAAAGCAGACCAGTACTATGTCTAAACAAGGAATGGAGGAAGCAGAAATCTTCTACCTGCTTTACTCATGTTAGTCCAAGAGTGGGTGCATTCTGGATTAAGCTTGGTTTATGAAAATAAGCACTATGAGGACACCTTCAATGGTCTTGTGGAACACCCCATCTCATGAGAGAGTGTTATATTGAACCAGAACTGCCCCAAACAGTACACATTCTGATTAAGTATACCTTGGCAGGCAATAGTGCAAGTGAGTGGAATCCTGTTGGGGACTAGAGGGCTCTGTAAAAGGAGGGTAAGAAAAAAGAAAGATCCAACCAGTGATAGATGGTATGATGTGTAAAAAAATAACAACCAGAGGCAGTCCATACCTCACTGACAAATAAATGGCTAGATGATAGAAGTTTGTGTGACAAAGATGTGAGGAGCCGTCCAAATGCCATCATGAACATTTTTTTCCAATATGCAATGAAAGCGAGCAGCCAATGAGTGAGTAGGTGACGAATTTGGAGGAAGGAAAGCTAGAAATGCTGACATGTTTTTCGATCCAATGAAGAATACACTACATAAATAAGAGAGAGTAACAGGAAAAAAGATCATGAGTGGATGAAGGATTCAATGAAAGGAAGAGACAGGATAGGAACCACGTAAAGAAGAACTGTGGGCCAAATAACAACAAACCACATGAACAGGACAAAACAGGCAAGGGAATAAAGATGAGAATGGAAGGAAAAGATACATGGGGGAATGTACTATTATGCTATACACCGCAGACATTTTAGGGAGAAAAGCATGATCCAGATAGAGAAGGATATAGGAAAGATAGAATAGAATGTGAGAAGAAAATATTTCATACACATCAACATACTGATGACCACAGGTGAGGAGGAGGAAGAAATAAGTTTTCAGAAACAGATAAG